ACGAACTCTTTAAATATTGATTTTAAAAATATAGTTTCTAATACAATATTGTAGTTTATATAAAGAATGACAACTTTTATTATTATACTTTTAGTGATTTACTAACAAAATTTAAGACTTGTCTTAAAAGTAAAGTTTTTTTTATAGGCAAAAAATTAAAAAATCTAAAGAAGAAACTGTATAGTAAAAACTTCAATACAAAAACTTTAAACTTTTATTGTATTAAAGTTTTTTAATAATTTTAAAAAATTTTCTTAACAAAGCTAATAAAACAAATCTCAAATTAAATATTTTATCTAAAAAATATAGCTAAAATCAATATTTAAAATTTTATTAAAAAATTTTAAAATTTAAAAAAATTTGTAAGCAAATTTGGCTACAAAACAATTTAAGGGATATGTATATTGTGTGTAATATTGGGTGTTCGATTTATTTAATAAATACTACTATATGTAATATAAAAAAAGACTATAACTTTGTTATTATAAGGAGCATGAATAGTGATAGAATATGAACTAAAATTTATAAAGACTTAATATTCACTTTAATTTTAAAAGTAGTAATTGGTCAAGAATAGACCTAAATTTGTATTTGGACGGTTGTTTTTATTGTTATTATAACTTCACAAAAAGCTGTAAAAAAAGTTTATATATTACTAACTAGACTTGAACTTGTATTTTTTTTTCTGATAAAAAATTTTATTAATTTGTGAAAGTTTTACAAAAAACACTAGCTTTGAAGTCTAGTCAATACTAATACATAGCATATGTATATAGTCTTTAAAATCAACAGAAATTTTTATCAATTTGTAGAAGTTATACAAAATTGTAAATTTAATTGGTTTCCAGAATCACATAGCATGGATCAGAGATTGGTTAGCATGTGGAGGTGGTATTAACAAAAGTGGGGGTAGCAATAACAAGTTTCTATATTTATTACAATATATAGTATTAATTCTTTATAAATATCAAAACTAATTATTAAATTGAATCTTCTATAGAATAGGTAGGCAAACTCTGCAAAATCAACAACTCCACTAAATATTTATTAATGATTACTAATTAGTAGCGGAGTTTATTTTTTATATTGCCCACCTATTCTATAGAACATTCATTAAATTTATTAATTGTTTTATTATAATAATGTATTTAAACTACATGATAAGTTTTTTGTTCAATTGGTCTGTTATTGACTCAAATATATTTCACCAAACATTTTTATATATTATACAGATTCAATAAAACTAACAATAAACTTTAGTATTATTTTTAGAATATTCAAAAATTTTAAAAACCAAATATTAAGAAATACAATTTTAATAATATGTAGAATAATCAATGAAGGTATTGTAAGAAAACTTCAACTTGGTTTTATTATTAGAATAAAACAATGACTAGATATAGAGCCTAATTACTTTATAATAGATATACTAATAGCTTTATTAGAGTTAATCTCAGTACTTATATTTATTTCTTTGTCAATTTATTCAAGTATAAGTTCTTTAAAAAATTATTATAAATTGCAGCTTTGGGTGAAAATTATTTTAAATTTATTCTTACTAAATACATATTCATTTAAATTTATATAGAAGTTAAATTTTCAAATTTTTGATAATAGTGGAAAAGAATCTGCTCAATCTGACTTTGTATATACTGCCATATCTATTATTACTGAAAAAAATATTCTTTTTTATTCTTGAGTTTGAAGTAAAGAAATTTCAAGTATACAAAGATTTTGCAGTAATTATTGCTAAAGTGGTTTTTACTCTAAACTAAATAATTTTAATATATATACTTTCAGAATTCAATATTGGGAAAAATTTTTTTATTCAAATCTACAATATTCTGTAAAAACATAGATTTTTACAGTATTGAAAAAGATTTTTAATACAATTCTGCAAAAATTTTTAATAATAAAATTTTGCATAAAATTATATTTATTTTTTGTGTAAATAGCCACCAGGTTTAAAAATTTATACAAATTTGCAAATTTTTTATATAATATAAAATTTGCAAAAATCTGTACTAAAAAAATTTTCTTAATGAAAATATCTTCTATTTGAGTACATATTATATTAACTAACAATAGCTATATTAGATTTGAGATTTAAAACTATTTTTTAATAAATTAAGTAATACAATTATTTATTTATACAACTAAGTTATTAAAAGGTTTAATATTCAATTAAAAAATTTAGAAATAAATATAGAAAATATATTAAACTTGATTGTTTATTTGAAACAAATAATTTGTTATAATAGGTTGAATTTGTAAAATAGAAAATTAAACTTTAAATACAATTTTTATTTTTATTTTAGCTTATTAATTCTTTTATTAAAAGTAGAAGAATTAAGACTATATACTACAAGTTTTATACTAATATCTAAACAAAAAAGAATAATAGGGTTTAAAAAAATTCAAAGTATAGAAATTATAAAATATTGTATATAAATACCAAAAATTGTTTATATATATTTGTTGAGACATAGAATTTTATTTTAGATTAAAAGCATACTTTTATACTTATAGATTACAATATTTTAATATATATATAGAAGAAGTTAATAGTAAAAATACAATACAACAACTCTTTCTAATGAGCACTTGAACTACAATTTTCAATAAACTTTTTACTAAGAAAAAAACAATATACTAAAGTAAAATTATTGACTCTCTCATAAGATATAGGAAAAGGGACTGTAAGTTAGCAGCTATTATTTAGAGATAGTTTTTATATGCTACTTGCTAATAGCTTTAGAGTTTATTACTTACTAATTGCAAACATGACACTTGTTATTTAGAAGTAGTTCTTATACACTACTACTCACTAAAAAGACTAATACTGTGCAGGCTCGGGTAAATAGTTAATTTTAGTAAAAGAAAACTTACACTCTTTTAGTAGTTTTAAGTGTTATTTTTTCTTTCTTATATTTTGCCAACTTTACTAAAAATTTTAACAAAAAGTGGGCATTTTAGCTTACTTTCTTCAAAAGATTAGCATTGTTTATAGTCTAATAATACTTCTATCTTTAGCAAAAATTTTATCTAATTTGGTTTAGTAGTTGTGAAGAAAATTATAGCTAAAGTTTAATATAAAATATAATTTTTATATTTTTAATTACTATTATTAAAAATTTTATATAGTTATATTGGGTATTAGGCAATTTTAATTACTATATTATATATAGCATTTAATAACTTTTTAATCTCTCTTTCTCTAAAATATTAGGTAATAAATATCTATACTCTTACTAAAACCAAATATGTTTTTTATTTAAATTGAATATTTTTTTTGATTCAAACTTTTCTAAACTCTGGTCAAATTAAAATTTAACTTATTTAACCAGAATTTAAAAAACTTTAAACCAAAAAGTAAACAAAATATTTGAAAATTTATTATTAATTCAACTCATCTTTATTAATATTATTATTTGGGTTCTATAGTAGTACAAACAATATAAAAATACTTTCACTAAATTTTAAAGATAATATGAAAATTTTTTATTTTTATATTTTTTTTTAAACTTCGATAATTTTGTCATTAACTTTATTACTTATTTAACTGAATATTGCAAATATTACATATATATTTTTAACCTATCTAAGTAGTTGTAATAACCTCACTTGGCTACCTTATATGGTGCCCAGATGCAACCGCCTGCACCATCTCACATGTGAGATGGACATCCTCAGATACCTCTATCAAGAAGCACCCTAAGTCCTGATTTAACTCAGAACCTTAATGTTTTTACTAATTCATATATACCCCGCTATATATACTACTGTACAACATCTACCAGTTATAATCCACCCCTCATCACTTATCACATTACTTCTAATTCGTTTCTTGTATAACTTCCAAATTGGTGTTCCTCGAGATGTTACTTCAGTTATATGAAAAATTTTAAATACATAAGTTAGAAATAAAATAATAATAATAATAATAATCATAATAATTTTTATTTTCAAATACAGTATGATTTTATTAAAAATAAATATATTTAAAAATTTAAATTTTAAAAATAAAAAAATTTACTCAAAATTGTCTACAGTTTAAAAAATAATATATTTATATACAGTACAGTATATAAATTTATTATTAATACAGTATATACTGTAATAATAATACAATAATAAACTGATGTTTTGAAGTTGTTGTACTATATTTAAAAATAAAAAATAAATTCAGTACCACATACTGTAAATCGTTATGTTTCAAGATAATGTAAATGTGGTTTGTGTAGTTCTAGTTATGCTAGCTATGTATCAGCAAGTATTTTGTTATTTGTTTATAAAGTAGCATTTAGTATTTTACTTTACTGTATAGTCGTGAATATATTTAATAATAAGAACATATATAGTATTATTATTATTATATATATATATTTATATATATTATACTGTAATCAATTAATACGTAAGCGAACTTCGTGGAATCGGATTCACTTAAATGGAAATGGCCAATTTATACATGAAATGACAGTTATCGAATATAAAATAGAGAGCAAATTCTTTTTTTAACGAATAACTTATATATATATACTGTATAAAAATTTGACAGATTTTTAAAAATTCATACCCCTACCGCTATCGCTACAGTACAGACATTTCAAAATCCATTAGAATGGATTCTAAATTCACAGATTCCGCTTATAGTTTAGGAGAGAAAGTAAAATCGAAGACGGGCTGGTTTTTTTTTGCATATTTGATAGGATATATATATATAAATGCGGGTTACAAAGATATACTGAAATAGGAGAGATTTTAGTTATCAAAATAAAGATATAGAAGATATAGATAAATTGGCGTATTTAAATAACAAATTTATTACTGTACGTGAGTACTTATACATATGAAAGTATTTATTTTTAGGGTTATAGGAACGAAAATAAATGCCAATCCTGATGGAAGTAAGTATTGGAACCTGTTTATGATAAATTTGGTAAATAAAATTTTTATTTGAAAAGAATGGAACCAAGAAAATGGATAAAGTTAGTTAGAATAATGTAACGATACTTTATGCAACGGATCATTGAATACAAACAATTAAGTCACATAAAAAACCATAATTAGTATTTCATGACCTCCATGACCTATTGAATCGGAATACAGGGTTAGTAACATCCGGGTAATATAAATAGAATTTTTTGAATTGGGTAAGAAAAAATAAGCTAGTTTGCTTCTTATCAAAAACACGTAATTCTTTTTGTAAAAAAAGCAGAAAAATGAAGCTTATTCTGCCGAAAACTTGTTGTGGATGTATAAAATTGAGAGCGGGAGTTATAATTATTACTACACTTTTGTTGGCAAGTTATTAATAATATAATCGTATAGGCAACTAAATTATTATCATAAATATTAACATATATATATTATATATTATATATAATTTTATAGCTTTATGGGCTATATCATACACTTTATGGAGGTTTAACTATCGAACGCAATCCAAGTATATATACATATAATAAAAACTGGATCGTTTTATCGTTAGGCAATACAAAATTAATTTCTTGGTTTTCATAACTCGGTTGGTTGAACGCTTTCGAAAGAAAAAAAATATAGACTTGTAACCGGGTGGATATCTTGGAAGAAATTTTTGTAAAATTTATATTATGAAAACCAAGTTAATATTGTGTGGCCTTAGCGTTATTTCAGTAATTAAATAATAATGATAATATAATGATAATAGGTGATGCGTCTTCCTATATTTACACTATCGTCTATGCGTTAATTAGTACTGGTTCAGTTTATGGTCTTTTAGTTACTTGGTGTTATGTAAGTATTGATGAAAAGAACGTCTAAATTTTAATACTGATAAAATTGTATTAATAATTAATACCAATCGATAAAATATCGATACTATATCATAGAATACGTCTAAAAATTTAAAAATCTATTCCGTTATTGCCAATATTATTGTCACAATTCTCATTGCTCAAGATATCGCTGATGTTATTTACACAATTGTGAATAGACAAAATTATCTGGATGAGTGTCTTACGATCTGGTTGAATAGTCCTTCTAATTATACTAGTTTCGAAGTTAATGATATTTGTGCCAACTCGTATAATATTACCCTGGTAACTGAAATTGTTGGCGACCTTATTAGAGCGATCATTTTGGTATGTTTTTTTTTTTGTTATACTATGATTGTTTTTATTATCTTTTTTTTTAACATATGAAATCGATTGTTTTAATAATAATTATAGATTTATTTTGCCACGGTTATCGCATCTTACGCTGTAAGTCGTAAAGAAAAAGAAATGCGAAATAGTGGAAATAGCGAAAATAATACGGGAAATAGTACAGAAAATAGTACGGAAAATAATGAGAATGTTAGTGCAGAAAAAGAAAAAGAATTTGTTAAAAAACTCGATCCATAAATTAAATCTCCGAAAGTGTCTATTTTTTTTTTAAAATGACTTAACTGTTAATATATTCCCACAATTTAAATGATCGAAACCTGTTTACAGTACTTTCACGTGTATTTTTTTTTTATTTGTATTATCTTTGCATCAATTAAATTGTTTATGCTCATGAAACTCATAAGATTCAGAAACTTCCCACGACGAAGTCTGATATATCAAATACGTCATGAATTCTTCATTGTTTCAGATTTTCTGTATAAATAAATGTGTCGTCCAACTTTCATGTCAAGTAAACTTTTTAAATAGCAAACACTCGAACAAATAATAACAACACACGAACAAATAATAGCAACACGAACAAATAATAACGATGGTTTGCCCAACTGATCTTGTTCTCGCTGATTTTTCGATATGCACTGTTGGCTCTGGTGTTAATATTTCTAAGGCATGTTTAGGTTTCTAAATCATCATCCTCATTTTGAGTATCGTTTGACAGTGCTTAATAGTTCTATTTCATTACAAAAAAAATAGCACATTGTCGAAGTTCATAATGTTTTGAAAACAACTGGGTAATTAAAATGTCTACTTTTATTCCTTTCTTTTAATACTTTTAATACCGAATTACGATTTTATATTAACTTGTTTTATTTTAAGGTTAAAATATAAATTGCACGCTTATGGCACTAACATCGGTTTGTCTTCCATTTTCTATAACAATCTAAATTTTTATTATTTCAATTCTCTAATTTGTTTCGTTATCTCGAAATTGAGCAGAGGGTCCACTAGATAAAATTTTTGAAGCTGTTAACAAATGTATTTCTAAGCTTCATGAATCTAACGTTCCTCGTCTTGATACTACCCTTCGACTTCAGGTGATCGTCATAAATACGTATTCTTACCGTATAGTTCCGAAATTAAGCACCCCCGAAATTAAGCACCATCAAATTTTATTTAATATCCGAAAATAAGCATTCCCTATATATAATCGTATCTGATTTTTTTTACTAAGCAAGCCTACTTTCTGTTTCCAAGTAAAGTTATTCTTCAGATCAAGACGATTCTAACGGCAGTAGAATCATCAAAATTGGTTCAGTAGAACTCTCACAATTGCTCTTCAAAGTTCGGGCGACTTTTGTTTACGAGTATACAGATCATGTAAAGCAAATGTAAACAAACGTCGCCCGAATTTTAAAGAGCAATTGTGGGAGTTCTACTGAACCAATGTTGATGATTTTACTGCCGTTAGAATCGTCTTTGCCTGGAGAATAATTTTACTTAGAAACAGAAGGTAAGTTTACTTAGTACTAAAACCCTATATTATTTATTCTTAAAATTATATCCGAAAATAAGCACCTCTTATAACAAAAAAGGGGTGCTTAATTTCGGAACTATACGGTAACTACGATTTTTTTTTAGATTTGTATGGGTTAGATTCGCTTCTTGACTAGACTACGATTTTTTTTAGATTCATAAAGGTTAGATATTTTTTTAGATTCATAAGGGTTAGATTTGCTTCTATACTAAACTACGATTTTTTTTAGATTTATAAAAGTTAGACTACGATTTTTTTTAGATTCGTATGGGTTAGATTCACTTCTAGACTAGACTATGATTTTTTTTTAGGTTCATAAGGCTTCTTGACTAGACTACGATTTTTTTTAGATTCATAAGGCTTCTTGACTAGACTACGATTTTTTTTAGATTCATAAGGGTTAGATTTGCTTCTTGACTAAACTATGATTTTTTCAGATTCATAAGTGTTAGATTCGCTTCTAGACTGGACTACAATTTTTTTTAGATTCATAAGGGTTAGATTTGCTTCTAGACTAGACTATGATTTTTTTTAGATTCGTATGGGTTAGATTCGCTTCTTGACTAAACTATGATTTTTTTAGATTCATAAGGCTTCTTGACTAGACTACGATTTTTTTTAGATTCACTTCTTGACTAAACTATGATTTTTTTCAGATTCATAAGGGTTAGATTCGCTTCTAGACTAAACTACAATTTTTTTTAGATTCATAAGAGTTAGATTCGCTTCTAGACTAGACTACAATTTTTTTTTAGATTCGTATGGGTTAGATTCTCTTCTTGACTAGACTATGATTTTTTTTAGATTCGTATAGGTCAGATTCGCTTTTTGACTAGACTATGATTTTTTTTAGATTCATAAGGGTTAGATATTTTTTTAGATTCATAAGGGTTAAATATTTTTTTTAGATTCATAAGAGTTAGATATTTTTTTAGATTCATAAAAATTAGATATTTTTTTTAAATTTATAAGGGTTAGATTCGCTTCTAGACTAAACTACATTTTTTTTAGATTTGTAAAAGTTAGATTCGCTTCTAGACTAGACTACAATTTTTATAGGTTAGACTTGCTTCTTGACTACAATTTTTTTAGATTCATAAGGGTTAGATTCATTTCTTGACTAGACTATGATTTTTTTTAAATTCATAAGGGTTTGATTCGCTTCTAGACTAGACTATTAGATTTGTGTTCATTCTTTCAAATCTATTAACATTCTCTCTAAATTTATTTATATTAATAAGGCATTCTCTTTAAATCTATTATAATAACATACAAATTTAAAATTTTTAAATTTTCGGAATTTTAATAATAAAAATACTAGTTAAATTCTATAAGTAAAAAAGCAGCTCCGGGTATTTAAAAAGTAGCTCCGGGTATCTAAAAAGCAGTTGCAGATCATTTACTATGTATTTACATTGTTCTGATTTTTTGTCAACTGCTTCCTAGATAGTCCAAAAAGCAGGCTGGGTTTTTTACTATGTAATTTACTATTAAAAATCTTTTAGATTCTAAAAAAAGCAGCTGTAAATCTTTAAAATGGCAACCATCTTACATAATCATTTTAACTATTATATGATGTTGCTGAATTAAAAGCCAGGTCTAATTTATTACTATTCCGAATCTCGGCCATGCTATATTACACTTTCTGGCTATGATGCGGTAGTAACAAACCTGATAATCTACTAGCGTAATGTATATAATATTATTAATACAGTATATCTAACATATATTATAAAATATCTAAATTTGTATAATAATCTACATTATGCATATTGTTTATTTGTTTACATTTTTTTAACCAATCAAATCAAATGTCTGCCATGCTACATAGGTCAATTTAAAAAGGTAGCAACTACAAAAGCTCTGAAGTAAACAAGAAATAGGTGTTCAAAATCAAGTGCCTAAATGATTTTCTACCAACAATGCAAACTCTACACCAAAAAAGAGCAGATATCTACTCAGATAACAAATGCAAAATATACTGGGAATTAAAAACTAAAACACAAGATCACTTGGCAGAATGCTTAGAACTACAATGACTATGGAGTATTATCAAAGCAGAGGAAACTATTCTATTTAAAGAAAAGGCCAAGAAAGAAAAAGCAAATTTAAAGATCTTAGATATCAAAGAAATAGAAAATACGATCTTTGGGAGTAATCTACAGAAAAGATTAGTAGCAAGGAGAGAACTAATGAAAGGCCTAATCACAAAGCAAAGAATTGATAGGATATGCTCAGTTTTGTGAGATTCAACACTGGTTAGCAAGTTTAGCCAAGCAATACTCGACCACGTTAGAGACCACTTCTATAAGCACATTTGGTGTTTCTACTGTGATCTAGTAGCTGAATAGGAAGAAAGACATGGTATCGCAAAGATGGAGAAGAAGACCAAAAAGAAAAGAAAGAAAGAAGGTGTGACAAACGAGGCAGACAAAGAAAAGAGTGACCCACAAAGCTCAGAACATACCACGAAAAAAAGCAAAGAAGCTAAAAACAAGTCAAAGAAGAGTAAATATGAGGTATTAAAAGAAGAGAAAAAAATAGTTGAAGAGTGAATCGCATGGGGGAATAAACCAGCATGGTCCTTGCTGGCCAAAGTCTGTCCAAATATTAAGCGTTACTGATAGGGATCCAAACAGTCATTTGGGTAACTGTGTACCTGACTACCTGACCTGAAATTTTTATCAACCAGGTCAGACTTTTAGCAAATCAGTTGACCCGAAACCTTTTACTAATCGGGTGCCCGAAATTCAAATGATTAGGTTGTCATGTTCCATTACATAGCATATGACAACCAATTATCATAGCAAAGTAAATTTGAATTTAAACATGACAGCTATTCTGAAACACTGAAAAAATTGCTAATAACCGAATTAATAAGTTACTGAGTCAGAATCAATAAGTTCTCAGCTTCGGCTAAACACAAAAACTTATCAATTTAGTTATTGGCAATTTTTTCAGTGTTTCAAAAATTATGAAAGCAGCTGTAAACCCGAATCCCCACACTGATATTGATATTGGTTCTGCATAGTTGCACTAACAACTTTGTCTGGCTCTAGAGAAGCTCTTGATTTTTGAAAAATATAGATTAAATTATAAGCTTATTAAAGCACATATTACTGGTAAATTGATTTCTTTTATTGTTATGAACAGCTGATTTTAATTAAATATCTGGTTAGTTTTGGGTATCTGGTTGATGATAAGTCACAGGCAAAGGTTTTTTAATTGGGTATCCGGGTCACCCGAATATATTCAGGTGACCTGTTTTGGAAGGTGTTTGACCCGACGAGTCGCAGGTAGCGATTTTCAAACTGGTTTGGAACCCTAGTTACTGACATGATATACAATAGCCAATTGATAATCGAAGGAGTATCTTTAATCAATACAAAATTCAGAAATCCTGAGAGAGATAAACAGTTGTTATGGCAGGTCGCATTGGGCAAATAGCCTGGTAAGTCTTTATTAGAATAGAGCGTTATACTATTTTGATGTAGTACTTTGTATAATAGTCATATAGTAGTTTATAAAATAAATAAAGGCAGGACTGCTTAATATAAAAAAATAATATTATGAAACTTATAGCGAAATAATACGCTATATATTGCGCAATATTTCAAAATAATTCAAAACAATTCAAAATAAATGTAAATGCATCAAAACAGCAAAATATTTATAAAATTTACTATTGGCCCAAATGTGGCAT